GACTGTTTGCTTAAACACGTTAATATTATTAATCCTTGATCGTTTCTGCGTGGATTAAATATCGACCGTTCTATAGGATTCGGGGCGGGGGGGGGGGGTGCGTCAAGCGTACGTACGCAAGTAGGGGGGGGGGGGTCAGGTTTTGACAGATTTTTGCGTACCTACTAAATGGATGGCCCCTTAAAATAGGCAAAACATGTTATTCAAAATACAGGTTTTTGTTAGATCGCGATATAACCCAAAAAAAAACCTGTATGATAGATGATATTGGTCGCGAAAGCCTACGTGTTTAACTGACACATGTTAACCAGTTGTTACCTCTGAAGGATATTTGTGGTCCTGTTTCCCAACTGATTCTAATTGTGCTTTCGGAATAATGTAACAAGGCAAATAATATATCTGTACATATTGCAGAGTAAGTACATCGCCTGCTTTCTGAGAACGGCTGCATCTAAGAATGTTCAGAGGATTTCAAGTGGCCCTCATATTCCACACATAAGTAGTGGTCTCACTCTAGCACACTCTGCTTTGAGATTGTTTGTCTCATGTCAGCTAAACCGATCATCTTAAATCTCAGAGCTATGCAGCAGCGGCATGTCGGCTGTTCTGACTCACTTGAGTGTGAGTGTGTGAAGACACGTTTTTTATATATAGCTAGGATTTAGCCAAATGAAGTTAACACCTGGTTTAATGATATATGTGTGTGCAGTCATTGGTGACTGTTAGGGACCATCGACTCACTGGAACCCAGATTCAAACCTAGGAGGCGTTGCCAGCTCAGCTCTGATTCCTGAGCAGCTGCCACGTTAAGACAGCCTTCTTCACCTGAGTGCAATTACTTTGTAGTCGAGCGTGAGATGCCATTCAGTCATCGCGGTATTTGACAATCACAGAGATCACGAAAAAATAATTATGCAGCGTGCATTATGTTAAGTCTACGAGGAGCACTTTCCCACTCACCGTGTATTTTTAAGTCAAGTACTTCGTGCTCTTGTTACATAAAATACTGCGATTTGATTCAGTTGGCATGTGAGAAAATTTATTTTTGCGGAATTACCGCACACACAATTACTACAGTTAGAGATTTGTTTTTCCCATTTTACTTTGACTGTGGGATGCTTGAGGCATGTCACAATGTCGCATTGTATCAGCTGGAACATAACAATGCTTTGCCTTTCTTCGTTATCTGTGGACTTTGGATCCTTTCTAGTGTAAATATAGTTTTGCCAGTGAAATTACTGCATGCGTGTCCCTTTGGTGGCACGCACAGACGAGCGTTAAACTGTGCAGAGCACGGAGTGCAACGTTTCATGGCTGAGATGCATCGCCAACCCCTTGCATTTAAACCTCCTTAAGTTTGAGCGCTTGCCGAATTGTTCCGTTTTACACCCCGTGTAAACGCCGCGTTTCAAATACGCACACACTCATCCTTTTGACATCTGAAACGTGCGTTGATTTGGGAAGGGTTGTGAATGCTCGGGTACGTCTGAAAGTTTATTTACAAGAACAGCGTTGGATCTCGTAGCTCTTAATCAGGTGTTGCCTGCACCTCTACCGTCAGTAAAGTTTATGCTGTGATTATAATAATACTCGTATACTCTTTTTAAGCGCACAACTTTATCTATCTGTGATGAACGCTGCACTTTCCATCGTTTTCATGCAGGGGGCGCTGCAAACCTACGCACCCCCTGCATGAACGATGGAGGCGCAGGGACAGACGTTCGATTACGTTGGAATCGATCTGCAGACGGCGTTTTTCTCGCATGGCCAGCAGCTCTATGTCGCCTTATCTCGATCCCGCAATCCCAAACAGGTGAAAGTCCGCATCCAACCGAACCCGCAGCAAGGTCATCTACTTAACGACGAGAGAAAATTCACACGAAATGTCCATTTCAATTAAGTCTTCCAGATGTAAAATGATACTGTATAAGCTTTTAATGAAGAAATACAATTATCTAATTCAAAACATAGCACAATTTAAAGATGTTTCATTTTAAAACTTCAAAACGGAGCATCGGGTACTTGCGTGAATGCGTCGTTCGTGTGCAATTTTTTTGTGACTTTCCTGGCCGAAGGCCGTAAATGGTTGTGAGGGGCGCCATAGGCACCCCGAACAACCTCTAGTTTAATATATATATTCACAGCATACTACAGTGTAAGGACTTCACCACCATCATTATCAGGCACACGAAAGTGACAAAAACTCGTTGTGCCAACCAGAGTATGTGCGTTTCACTGCACTGTAGAATGCCTCGTGCAGGGATTGGCCGGTATAATAAACAGCCCTTTGTCAATCCACTCCTGCATATAATCTTCCCCACTCTGCGGCAGTCCCCGGGGGGGGGGGTTGTTGGGCCATACTTCACCAGGCTGGTCAGTGCTCATTGGTAAAGTGGTCACCTAGGACAGGTTCAGATATCGCTCACCACTGATGTTAGTCATGGGTTCAGAGTACAGTGTGACAAAACCACTGCGCCCATTACTTGCCCTCGGATTTCCACCTTTTCCACAGAAGAAACCCGCATGTACATCTTGGCGAGTCCGAGGTCTGTTATCAACACTGAACTTTAAACAAATTCAACAACGCAACACCAGTACCAGATTTCGGTACAAATCGATTCCTGCTGCCCCGAACACAGAGGTGCCAATTCCTGGACTGTTCAGGTCAAACCTGGACAGGTTGGTCATGCTAGATCCCCCCAAGTTATACACTGTAAATGTGAGCATCAAGTTCAAGTTATGTACATACAGAGACATTCACAGAAAACTAAAGCAAAACTAATTAGTACAATTAATAGAAATAAAGAGGAAGACAACAAAATGTAGTAGTTATATGGTGGCTTCGTACCCATATTGACCAGCACAGCCTGAGTTGGTCATCAGGTCGCCACCTGTCCGTGTTTGACCCAAACAGTGCGGAAATGGCATTTATGTTCAGGAAGCAGGAAATTATTTTTAGTCAACATTTGGTCCCGGTGTTGCTTTGAACTTCATTATAGTTAACTGTACAGTTTTGATGGACTTGGTGCTGACTGAGAAAATCTGCCCGGGTTTGTTCGCACTGGAAATTCCCACCGTTGACCCTGATCACATGTTGCTGTCTGCACGTCCTCAGGCCCAAGTTCTTGATAGGCGAAGGCATTCATAACAATGCCAGCAAGAGGCACCGGGACCGCCTCAACTCGGAGATGGAGGATCTTGCGGCCGCCCTCCCTCTGCCTCCGGCCGCCATTACCAAGCTGGACAAGCTGTCCGTGCTGCGGCTGAGCGTGGGGTACCTGCGTGCCCGAGCCTTCTTCCAGCGTGAGTTGACCGTTTGTTGTTGCGACGCGTTGTTTTCGGCGACAATTTGAATTTTGTCAAGAAAGGGTCACCACCAACGTAATCATAATCGTCGTCAGTAGGATTACCACCGTCTGTACAGACCAGCCATGGATTTATTGCTTGCAGCCTAGGTCTGTCAACACTGTGCAGCATACTGTAATAAAGTTTAAACACAATACCACCAGATCTCAGTACAAATTAATTTCTGACACCTGAACAGGAATGCTGCAACCCAAGAGTGCTCGGGTCAAACCCAGTACACTACGAACCCACCAAACCTGAGTTCTCATCCATGGCTGATGTCAGTGGCGAGTGATGTCTGAACCGGTCACTGGGCGCCCTGATGCCTTTCACCAACGTGCACAGACCAGCGTGGGGAAGCATGCTCACGCCATTTCCATGATAATAGCATGGAGAGACCCTCACCCAGTAGTCGATTGAGAAAAGGGCTGCACATGGGTGCCACGGTGGTGAGATGTTAACTGATCCCGACCCTGATGCCTATATATTTGGAGTTTGCATGTTCTCCACGTGGTTGCGTGAATGTTTTTTCTACAGACCCTCCGGTTTTCCCGTCCACATTTAAAAACACGAGTATTTGGCTGCTATTATTAATTTCCACGCAATAATAAGCCACTTTGTTGAGCTATCATTTGTTGCCAGGTTGCCTCTTTAAAAGAGCTACAGTAAGGGAAAAAAATATTTGATCCCCTGCTGATTTTGTACGTTTGCCCACTGACAAAGAAATAATCAGTCTATAATTTTAATGGTAGGTTTATTTGAACAGTGAGAGACAGAATAACAACAACGAAATCCAGAAAGATGCATGTCAAAAATGTTATAAATTGATTTGCATTTTAATGAGGGAAATAAGTATTTGACGCCTCTGCAAAACATGACTTAGTACTTGGTGGCAAAACCCTTGTTGGCAATCACAGAGGTCAGACGTTTCTTGTACTTGGCCACCAGGTTTGCACACATCTCAGGAGGGATTTTGGCCCACTCCTCTTTGCAGATCTTCTCCAAGTCATTAAGGTTTAGAGGCTGATGTTTGTCAACTCGAACCTTCAGCTCCCTCCACAGATTGTCTATGGGATTAAGGTCTGGAGACTGGCTAGGCCACTCCAGGACTGTAATGTGCTTCTTCTTGAGCCACTCCTTTGTTGCCTTGGCCGTGTGTTTTGGGTCATTGTCATGCTGGAATACCCATCCACAACCCATTTTCAATGCCCTGGCTGAGGGAAGGAGGTTCTCACCCAAGATTTGATGGTACATGGCCCCGTCCATCGTCCCTTTGATGCGCTGAAGTTGTCCTGTCCCCTTAGCAGAAAAACACCCCCAAAGCATAATGTTTCCACCTCCATGTTTGACGGTGGCGATGATGTTCTTGGGGTCATAGCATTCCTCCTTCAAACACAGCGAGTTGAGTTGATGCCAAAGAGCTCCATTTTGGTCTCATCTGACCACAACACTTTCACCCAGTTGTCCTCTGAATCATTCAGATGTTCATTGGCAAACTTCAGACGGGCATGTATATGTGCTTTCTTGAGCAGGGGGACCTTGCGGGCGCTGGAGGATTTCAGTCCTTCACGGCATAGTGTGTTACCAATTGTTTTCTTGGTGACTATGGTCCCAGCTGCCTTGAGATCATTGACAAGATCCTCCCGTGTAGTTCTGGGCTGATTCCTCACCGTTCTCATGATCATTGCAACTCCACGAGGTGAGATCTTGCATGGAGCCCCAGGCCGAGGGATATTGACAGTTCTTTTGTGTTTCTTCCATTTGTGAATAATCGCACCAACTGTTGTCACCTTCTCACCAAGCTGCTTGGCAATGGTCTTGTAGCCCATTCCACCCTTGTTTAGGTCTACAATCTTGTCCCTGACATCCTTGAAGAGCTCTTTGGTCTTGGCCATGGTGGAGAGTTTGGAATCTGATTAATTGATTGCTTCTGTGGACAGGTGTCTTTTATACAGGTAACAAGCTGAGATTAGGAGCACTCCCTTTAAGAGTATGCTCCTAATCTCAGCTTGTTACCTGTATAAAAGACACCTGGGAGCCAGAAATCTTTCTGATTGAGAGGGGGTCAAATACTTATTTCCCTCATTAAAATGCAAATCAATTTATAACATTTTTGACATGCGTTTTTCTGGATTTCTTTGTTATTCTGTCTCTCACTGTTCAAATAAACCTACCATTAAAATTATAGACTGATCATTTCTTTGTCAGTGGGCAAACGTACAAATCAGCAGGGGATCAAATACTTTTTTTCCTCACTGTATATAGCTCAGAGGGCCTTACCTGGTAAAATAAAAATTGTTTAGTTTTCTAGTGCATACACAATGTAAGATGAACCTGCGCAACTCCACTAAGCCCTTCTCTAAAACTGAGGACATTCAAGAGTTACACACGTTGACAATGCGGCTGAAAAAAGTACGGCCAGCGTTTCCTGTCGTTGTTAGCGAAGAGATCGATAGTCACATTTCACCAACAATGGCACAAAAATTTACATTTTCCGTTTTGTTCATGCGAAGCGAAGCCCTGATTGCGCGCCCACTCTGTTACGATCGCTCGCGTGACAATCTCTCGCTACCACGATCTATCGCTACCACAATCTATCGCGCCACCATCTCTCGCTGCCACAATCGCTCGCGTTACGATTGCCTGCTTTATGATCAATCGCTGCTATGATGGCTCACGCTACAATGGCTCACGGTACGATCGTTCGCATTATGATCGATCTCATTACGATCGCTCGCGTGTTGTTGATTTGCCCGCGTTGCATCACCACGGTTCGCAACAACAGCAACATACACTCACAATCCGAGGGGGGGAGTGGTGGCGCAGCGGTTAGTGCACTGAGCCAAGAGCCTGGCTACTTGAGATCCATAAGTGGTTATGGCTGCGTCAGTGGCGTGTGATTTATAGACCGCTGATGGCCTCTCCTTTACCAACTTGCCCAAGCCTGCGTGGTGAAGTACGGTCAAACAATCCCCAACGACTGACATGGCGTGAGCAGAGGCTTCATCCAACAGTGTAGGGACCAGGGGATGAATATTAATATTGTGATTAATAGCGATATAATTATTACGCACATACTGGGTCTGCAGACTTTATTTCCTTTTCTTGTTTGTTGTCGTGCTATCCCACAGCACTTAATTCTTATCCAAACCGGCTTGTTATCTGCAGCATTCATTCTGAACCAAACCTGCCATTTATTTACGTGTATCTGTTGATCTGTCTGTCTGCTGTCTAGTTTTCAGTCTTGCAGTTTCCTGTGCTGTCCTGCCTTGTTTTGTCTGTGCGTTTACGAGTTGGAATGTAAATGAAGTACGCACTCCGAAGTGCCACGGCACTTTGTAGACCCGGCACAGCCTTGATGACCTAGAGGGCTCTGTGCCACGGAGTGGAAGTGCAGAGGTTAGCGTGCTGTACTACGAACCCGGCGACCTGAGTTTGAGTCCCACTCACGGTGATCACACATGCGACGATTATCTGAACCGGTCCTGGGCCTTCCCTAGATCGACTCAGCCTCAATTGAGTATCTAGTGTGATGTGTAAAAACATCGCCACTAGAGAGACAAAGGCGGTTGGGCGTGGAGCTGGCCACTCACACCCTCGTGTGCTGTTCTGGCCTCCAACAGTCTGTTAAGAATATATGGGGGATCTTTGTCTCTGTGCAATAGAATCGACCAATTTCACTAAATATGAATTGGCAAGGAGTCGGTTGTGCTTCTTTATCGGTCCATTTGCAACAAATGCTGACCAGGAGGCAAATCTTCTCTTGGATGGTTAAAGGGTTTTTATTTTAGCAGTTTTCGCAAGTGACTGAAATCTTCAAAGTACGGACATTCTTTGCAAATAAGGTTGCATATCGAGTTTAAGAAACCTTTGGAAAGTAATGCATAAGACAATGTAATAATTGGCGTCATTGTGGAGACTATACGTAATATGATAACCTCCTTCATTTTATATGTCCCACCGCACACGATAAATAACATTAAGTTTACTCACTGAATGTTAAAACCGGTCCAGAGTTTGCCCGTGTTGAACCAATGTTGCAAAAAATTATGCACTCACGGAAGGCCGTGTGGCTGATGGGATAGATACGTGACGGAGGCATATTGTCTATATCTATGGGATTTTTTGGGCAAAAAAACTGCTCGACCCGAGATGTAATTATAGCTCACTTAGAAGTGTTCTGATGCTTGCATTGTCTTTGTACTGTTCGCCTTTTGGCGTTCTCTGGTCGAACACTGGTGGTGAGACTAGGTCGCAAGGAAGGCTGTCTCTGGTGTAGGCCAATCAGTTTCCAAGGCAATGCGTACATTATCGTAGCATGTTTGGTTTCATGTTTTGCCACAAGTATGGTGTGTAGTTAACCTTGAAAAGGGTGTCTATTTGGTGTTTCAATATCTTAACACCTGTTTTATTGCCAGAAAGGGTAAAACCTATTATCATATTTCATCAGGCTTATATTGCCTGCTTATTTTACTTTGGAAAGGAGCGCTCACTTGAACAATACCGATCTCGGCTGAGACAGCTGCTCAAGCGCAGCCGCATTTCGTCTCCGATGTACTTCGTCAAGGTCGGCAGAATCCCTACCAGCATTGGTCCGTAGCCTCCGCTTCTTGTTAACCCACGCACCTGACTTGTTTCCGTTGAAGGCATTACCATCAGAACGTATGTCGTACGCATTATAGGTTGCGGGAGTCGCCAGTGTGCAGAGAGCTACAGGTTATTGTTTTTAACATCCTCACGTGTTGATGAGCGTAGAGACAGACTTCCTGTCTGAAGTTCACGAGTGGACTCTCGATTGCCCGGGGTTATATGGGAGGAGTACCCCAATTGAAATATAAACGTGGATATTGCTCAGCAAGTGTAAACTGGCGTATAAAGAAGACCCAGAATGAGGTCATTATTCTCTGAAAACACATTACGTACAGTAAAGTGTTTTAAACACGAGATAAAAATACAAAAACACGTTTCAATGCGTCTTGGCACCCGAAAAATACAAAGTAGCTGTTTACGTTTACTGAGCGAGATGTTTGCTGTGTTGACTCGGGCACTAAGTCGCTAACCTTCCAAGAAGTGAATAGCAGCTAATAATATATCCAAAACAAATAAGCCCATAGTGCATCCCCTTCACAAAGCTGCCCCTCCACATGAAGAGAATGCACCGGTTGTACACATTCCTCCACCCACACAGCCTTCTGGGAAGCGAAATGTTTCAGGAGCATTGCTTCAACACAAGCAAACTCTGGGCGGCAGGATGGCGCAGTGGGAACACTCGTGCCTCACGGCAAGAAGCACTTGGGTTTTAATACTGACTCCGACGTATTTCTGTGCAGAGTTTGTATGTTCTCCCCCTGGTCTGTGTGGGTGCACATTACTCTATTGGGATCACACAGCAGCAGCAGCAGCAACATCACCCATACATCAAAAACCTGGCAGGACCCTCCGATCTGTTGAGATTCGGTGAGGCTTTCCTCGGTAAACGAGCAAAGAATTCAGTCTCAGCAGTCAGGCTTGCTTGAATCAATGCTGGTGGACTTCTGATGTTAGAGGGCAGGAACCTCTCTGTGACAAAATGTTAACTATCTTGCCTGGTATGCAGGAGGTCGTGTGTTTGATCCTGATACCTGCTGTATATTTGGAGTTTGCATGTTCTCCCCGTATTCACGTGGGTTTTTCTCCGGGTCCCCCGGTTTTTCCCTCTACATTTAGAATGAACATGCTGCTATAAATGGGCACGTGATAAGCCACTTCGTTGAGCTATCATTTGTGACCAGGTCACGTCTGAAAAAGAGCTACATAGCCCAGTGGGCCTTACCTGGTAAAATAAAAAAAGTTAACAGTTTTTTTGGATATGAATCCTAGTTTCCACAAAACTAAAATATACATATTCTAGAACATTCCTTTTTTACTAAATTTTTTCATAAGCACAGTAAATCTCCAACCCGGGTAATACGCCCACAGATAATCGAGGGATTTTTTTTACGTTTAACATTGTACTGTATGTATTTGTGGTGGTGGCACATGCCGGTAATCCAGCACTGTAGAGAGAGGGGTTAGTGGATCACACAAACATTTAATGAATCTCCCATCCCGTGGGTGTCGAGGTTACCGTCTCCTGGCTTGCCAGGGTATGGCAGTACAGCAAGTGGGTTAATCTCCATCTATTTCTATCTGTATGGGAATACCAAAGACAAAGACCCCCCATATAGCCGTAACAGACTTTTGGGGCAAGTACTGTTAGCGAGTACCCTTGAAGTGGAAGTGGGTAGCCAGCACCTATGCCCGGCCGCCTTTGTCTAATTTTGAGACCGAGTCGACATAGGGGAGGCCCAGGACCAGTTCAGATACTCGTTACTGATGGTGGCCGTGAGCAGGAATCGGACCTGAGTCTCCGGGTTTGTAGCACAGTGTGCTAACCAGTACACTACCGCTGCCTATCGGGAACACCTGTCCTGGATACATACACACACACACTCTGTTTCCCGTTGTGTCCCTCCTACAGTTGTCTCCAAATGTTGAGTGAACATATTGGAAGTGATCTCCGTTAGTTTAACACGTAGACTTTCGTGACCAAAATTTATCACAATAAAGGTTTTATGGGTTAGATCGCGAAAATATAAATGTGTCGTTAACCCACCACCACTCGACACAGCCAATTAGTAAGGTTTGTCACTAAGCAAAACGTGCCAATTAGTTACTACTTCAGCAACCTGGTGTGTTGGAGAGTAAACCCACTGCGTTTCTAATTTGAGTACGACATTTCGCTGGTGATTACAACCAGCTTCCTCAGGTTCTTCCTTCCGTTTCCAGTCTCATAGTCTTTGGCCTCGGGGGCATTCCAAAACCAACCTCCTCGGGCAGGGCCCTCGCTCTTGATGGGCTACAATCCCATATGGTCGCGCCTCCTTCTTCAAAATCTCACCATCCGATATATTCCCCCTTGAACCTCTGGAAAGCAATGCGCCGATTCGTTTTCCTTTTTGTGCAGCCGATGGTTGTTGATTTTTTTAAATTCCCCTTCCTCCACCCTGCCATCACCGCCCCCTCCCAGGCATATTTTAAGACATCGATGCATTTGAGCCAATACGCATTCAAGCACTGTAAATCTGCAACTCGGTACAAACATTTCGTCTAGCTGTTTATCGCCGTGGCAGGTGAATAATGTCTTGTCTATGTAAACTGTGGGGGGTGGTGAGGAAGGAGGGGCGGGGGCTTTGTTAGGGGTCACTCTTGTGGGCTGCTCGATGAGGAGGTGAGTGGCGTGGAGCTTATGGGACTGCGGTGTGGAAGGGGGGTCAGGGTGTCCAGAGGGCGGCAGTGGTGATTGGTTGAGGGCCAGATTTGTTCAAATTCCAGAGTTTTCCCTCACAGCTTCTAGCCGAGATGTTCTCTGGATGCTGCGCTACGTTACATGTGCTAGTCTGTCCAGCTGATTTAAACGGGCCATACGCTGCAGGTGGAGGATAGGTTAAGGCCAATGAACGCTCTTCCTTCCGATTTTAGGAAGCCATTGGAGCTATGCACTTTTAAATCTAGATTTAAAAAACGCATTTATTCAAAACAGTGTTTTGTGTTTAGTTTGTTGTCCTTCCCCCTTACCTCCGATTACGGTGCTATAGAAGTTGAACATACGTATATACGTACATAAGTAATTCATATGGAAAGAGTAAACCGCCATTAGAGTTAACTGCGTGTGATCCGTTGGGCTGTCAAGAGGCTGTTAGGCAATGCTCTCTGCCGCCCATAAACAACAGAGCCTGCTCTGGCTCCTCTTTCAACCTTAGAGGTGAAAAGTCTAGCTCCTTTTCTTCCAGGTCCTTCATTCAGTCCATTCACACCATTTTCCGATCAAATAAACACAGTCGTGGAAATCCCTCTGTAACTCCTCAGTTACCTAATCCACCTGCTAACTTACAGAATGCTGTGTGACTGCGAACAAAGCGTGTTCCCCCCTCCCCCCCCCCATTGTCGAGCATCCATTGTTACGTTTTTTTTAAAAAGGGCAAAGTGTCTCACGCACAAACGAGTGTTGGGTGGTAACAAAATCATGAAGCAGACACCACACCTACTCGTCCTGCTCATATCTGTCCCTTCACCAAAAAAAAATACAGGTGTTTTTTTCAAATCCCATCAGCCGCCCGGCCTTCTGTGAGTTTCATATATAAAAATAGCGAAATATTCAGCTAAATTCGTAGTTTAACACAAGCAAACTCTGGAGCAGTGTCGCAGGAGTATCGGGCTGCTTTCTTGAATGCTGGTGCACCGCCAGCCAGATGTTCGTAGGCAAGGGTCCTGTTGAGACACGGGTCTGGTTGGACGCAAATGTACGTAATTTACACAACACAAAATAAGCATGAGCAGCATCGTGGAGAATATATGGACCGAAACGTTGATCATCGAGTAGTGCTCTATTTATTGTTGTTGTTGTTGCACTTCTTTCACGCCGTACGTAGCCAACCACGCTCATCTGTGGGCAGCCATGAGCCAGGCTGTAAGTGCTGCGAGCCTTTTCTAAGAACATTCCCATCCTCGCAGAGCTGGACACCACGGGGAGGAGCTCGCCACCCCCGCCAGACCAGACCCTCACCAATGCCATCGACAGCGGCAGCAGCAGCACCAGCAGCAGCAACAGCAGCTCCCCCTCAGCCCAGCAGCTGGAGTTCGTTCCCTTCCCTCCTCGAGAGCAACTCTTACCCGAGGAGCAGCTCCCTTCTGACGAGTGTCACTTCAGGCGCCACGAGGAGCCATGGAATAGCCATCTGGCCGTCGTGGTGCCGGCCGATTGCCCGGCTGCGTCGTCCCCACCTCTGTTTGCCCCGCGTCGGCCCAGCCCCACGTCCTCGTCCCGGCGCCCGTCCTCGTCTCCCGCGGACGAGGCAGACGCGGTGCCGGGTTCGGTCGCGGAAGCCGGCCTCGCCACCGTTGAAGAAGAAGCACTGCCAGCATCACCACCGCCGCCGTCCCCGCTCACACGCCGCGGGAAGGAGGAGCAGGAGGAGGAGGGCCGAGCGGTGGTGCCGTGCGAGGGGGGCGGCCGCTTGGTACTGCCGCCGTTCCCCGGTCTCATCGACCCCGAGATGCTGCTTGAGGTAGGAGTGCAGGGGAAAAGGGAGCAAGCGGCTTTTTCCCGTCGTCTGGCACCGGCCGCTCAGTCGTGGCGTTGCTTATGCTCAGACAGGCAAGGGGGGATCGTGGCGCCTGTCATCCCTGGCTGGCTCGGAGCCAGTAGTGGACATTCCCCATTGCTATGGCGGGAGAGCCAGACTATGGATAGAACAAGCACAATGGCCTCCTACAAAGTGGTGGTCATTTATGGTGGCAGACGTGGTGACACTCGTGCCACGCAGCAAGAAGGACCTGGGTTCCATTCCCAACTTGGGTGCCTTTCTGTGTGGAATTTCTGCGGTCGTCCCCTGTCCTGCAACGGCATCAACCAGATTCTCCGGTTTTCTCCCACAACTAAAACTAAACGTAGAACATTACTGGTATTGGCCACATAATCCCAATGCCAATGATTACCTGCAAAGTTACTCAATTGTGTGTATGTTGGAATTATTTTGCACCTTACGTCACCAAGCGTGCTTATCGGAGGTGCGGGATTACACAACAGCAGCATCATTACCACCCCCAATTGTGAAAGACTTGGCACCACCCTCCTAATAAGAGTCTTGTGAGGCTTCCCTGGGTAAATTAGCATAGCGGTAGTGTATCGATTCCTGGAAGGATGACGAGCTTATTCGATGCAATGTGGGATTTGAACTCCCGACGTTGCAATTGCGAGTTGAGTGCTGTGAGCACAGCAGCACTGTTCTATACGGCCATACCTTACCCATTGCTGCTTTATCGAACACGTGTTATGGCTATACAGTACCATTGTTTGCTTTTCGAGGTACGTTTTCCGGAACATGAGGGCAACGTTTTTCAGCTCTACGCGGTTTGCCAAGGCCATAAAGAATGTGTATATTATCAGAGCATGTTTGTTTGCATGTTCACCACAAGTACGTGTGGTTAATGCAGACTTGATGCCTTGAAAAAGGTACCTTTTTGGTGTTTGAACATCTAAACACCTCCTGTTGTATTGCCAGAAAGGGTAAAACCGATTCTTTTTTCATAATTTTGGATACCGGCAAAAACGTATCCCACAGATGTAAGATTCTCATATCCGCGTTGACAAATAGTGTGCGGTGCGCTTGTGCGGTACAGTAAGTGGGTGGTGCAGACTAATATATTGCCACAATGTCCCCTCCCCACCACCACCCCCACCCTTGCGGTCTCCCTCTGCACATTGTAAGACCCCTTCTTTACACAACTTCCCCACGAATATCATATGCACCTTCATCGTCATCATCATTCATCATAAGTAAACATTTTCAGTTTAACTTTTTGTTATTATTTCAGTTTTTGTCCCAATTATATCTAATTTATGTGTGTATGTTGAACTTCTTTCGCCCCGTACGTAGCCAACCGTGATAATCATTTACCATGTATGGTTTTTTTTGTATGTGATAAGGGGAGAAATCTTTTAAATTAACAAAGACGGAGGGGACGATCATTTTGGATCCAAGAACGTAGGTCTCTATGTCCCATAATATCTGTAATGTTATTTGTTGAATGCGGTTTTGCCCAACACGGCATTTTCCAGGAACTAACCCCCCGTGTCCGGCGATGTATCACTGTCCAGTGTCATGATTTACCACAATGAGGAAACATTGGTTAAAATTACATATTTATTTTACATATCAAAATATTTCACCTGGAAACCCCTCGAGATGAGACATCTCGTTTGGAAGGGGTTGTCTAGGGCAGGGGTCCCCAACCTCTGGGCCGCACAGCAGCAGGAGGTGAGAGCGGCGAGTCCGCACGTGGCCCGCCCCCATTATTTTATTATTTACCACTTGCGTCCGCGCCTCTTTCCCGCACTGCGCACTTGTCTCAGTCACAGTTTTGGTAAGCCCACAAGCGAACCCCTAGTAGCCACAATGAGTAAGCCCACAAGCGAACCCCTAGTAGCCACAATGAGTAAGCCCACAAGCGAACCCCTAGTAGCCACAATGAGTAAGCCCACAAGCTAACCCCTAGTAGCCACAATGAGTAAGCCCACAAGCTAACCCCTAGTAGCCACAATGAGTAAGCCCACAAGCTAACCCCTAGCCAGAATGGGTAAAAAACAAACGTCACTGGAGAGCGTCTTTGAAAAGGGGGAAAGACCCAATGATGACCCCCCCCCCCGTCCGTGAAAAAATTGTCTTCCACGAAACCGGTCCCTGGTGCCAAAAAGGTTGGGGACCGCTGGTCTAGGGTGTCAATTGATATGCACACAGCAAACATGCGGCAACACGTATACACACACATACACACAGGTGCACACACACACGTACACATTTAAATGAACACAAAGATTTCCTGTATAACCTCAACAGACTCTTGGGGCAAGTGCTGTTAGCGAGCACCTATGAAGGCTGGCATGGCACACGAGGGGGTGGGTGGCCAGCACAACAGCTGGACGCCTTTGTCTCCCTAATGGCGATGTTAGCACACCACACCAGGTACTCGTTTGAGTCGACCTAGGGGAGGCCCAGAACCGGTACAGATATAGTGGTCACTGGTGTTGGCCTTGAGTGGGAATCGGCTTGCCAAAAAACAATCGCCATTTGCCACAGTGGCGACATCACCATGGCGCTTGTGCCAGGCTTGGAGGCCACGTGGAGTGTCGATGGCTCACTGGCAGGAGGTCCCGGAACAGGCCCATCAGGTGCCAGTAGTTGACTGAATGAAATGACTAGTAGATGCACCAGCTGTGCTCCCCACTGTGTCGACTTGCCTGATTTTATCCACCTTGCGCTCCGCTCGTTGTTGTGAGCGTCGCTCTTCAACCCTCTGTTGTTTTTGGAGGGCGGCTGCCTGCAACTACCCAGTAGCGTCCTTCATTAGCCTCCTCCATAGAGGGCGATCTTGACAATGCTGGAACCAGTCATCAGCAAGTCATATCAGCTCCACATCCTCCATTCTCGAGTCCGTGCAGGCATACAGCTATACACACATACAGTGAGGGAAAAAAGTATTTGATCCCCTGCTGATTTTGTACGTTTGCCCACTGACAAAGAAATGATCAGTCTATTATTTTAATGGTAGGTTTATTTGAACAGTGAGAGACAGAATAACAACAAAATCCAGAAAAACGCATGTCAAAAATGTTATAAATTGATTTGCATTTTAATGAGGGAAATAAGTATTTGACCCCTCTGCAAAACATGACTTAGTACTTGGTGGCAAAACCCTTGTTGGCAATCACCGAGGTCAGACGTTTCTTGTAGTTGGCCACCAGGTTTGCACACATCTCAGGAGGGATTTTGTCCCACTCCTCTTTGCAGATCTTCTCCAAGTCATTAAGGTTTTGAGGCTGACGTTTGGCAACTCGAACCTTCAGCTCCCTCCACAGATTTTCTATGGTATTAAGGTCTGGGGACTGGCTAGGCCACTCCAGGACCGTAATGTGCTTCTTCTTGAGCCACTCCTTTGTTGCCTTGGCCGTGTGTTTTGGGTCATTGTCATGCTGAAATACCCATCCACGACCCATTTTCAATGCCCTGGCTGAGGGAAGGAGGTTCTCACCCAAGATTTGACGGTTCATGGCCCCGTCCATCGTCCCTTTGATGCGGTGAAGTTGTCCTGTCCCCTTAGCAGAAAACACCCCCAAAGCATAATGTTTCCACTTCCATGTTTGACGGTGGGGATGGTGTTCTTGGGGTCATAGGCAGCATTTTTCCTTCTCCAAATACGGCGAGTTGAGTTGATGCCAAAGAGCTCCATTTTGGTCTCATCTGACCACAACACTTTCACCCAGTTGTCCTCTGAATCATTTAGATGTTCATTGGCAAACTTCAGACGGGCATGTATATGTGCTTTTTTGAGCAGGGGGACCTTGCGGGTGCTGCAGGATTTTAGTCCTTCACGGCGTAGTGTGTTACCAATTGTTTTCTTGGTGACTATGGTCCCAGCTGCCTTGAGATCATTGACAAGATCCTCCCGTGTAGTTGTGGGCTTATTCCTCACCGTTCTCATGATCATTGAAATTCCACGAGGTGAGATCTGCATGGAGCCCCAGGCCGAGAGAGATTGACAGTTCTTTTGTGTTTCTTCCATTTGTGAATAATCGCACCAACTGTTGTCACCTTCTCACCAAGCTACTTGGCAATGGTCTTGTAACCCATTCCAGCCTTGTGTAGGTCTACAATCTTGTCCCTGACATCCTTGGAGAGCTCTTTGGTCTTGGCCATGGTGGAGAGTTTGGAATCTGATTGATTGATTGCTTCTGTGGACAGGTGTCTTTTATACAGGTAACAAGCTGAGATTAGGAGCCCTCCCTTTAAGAGTGTGCTCCTAATCTCAGCTCGTTACCTGTATAAAAGACACCTGGGAGCCAGAAATCTTTCTGATTGAGAGGGGGTCAAATACTTATTTCCCACATTAAAATGCAAATCAATTTATGACATTTTTGACATGCGTTTTTCTGGATTTTGTTGTTGTTATTCTCTCTCACTGTTCAAATAAACCTACCATTAAAATAATAGACTGATCATTACTTTGTCAGTGGGCAAACGTACAAAATCAGCAGGGGATCAAATACTTTTTTTCCTCACTGTATATAGCTCAGAGGGCCTTATCTGGTAAAATAAAAATTGTTTAGTTTTCTAGTGCATACACAATGTAGGATGAACCTGCGCAACTCCACTAAGCCCTTCTCTAAAACTGAGGACATTCAAGAGCTACACACCTTGACAATGCGGCTGAAAAAAGTACGGCCAGCATTTCCTGTCGTTGTTAGCGAAGAGATCGATAGTCACATTTCACCAACAATGGCACAAAAATTTACATTTTCCGTTTTGTTCATGCGAAGCGAAGCCCTGATTGCGCGCCCACTCTGTTACGATCGCTCGCGTGACAATCTCTCGCTACCACGATCTATCGCGCCACCATCTCTCGCTGCCACAATTGCTCGCGTTACGATTGCCTGCTTTATGATCAATCGCTGCTATGATGGCTCACGCTACAATGGCTCACGGTACGATCGCTCGCATTACGATCGATC